ACAAACCAGTTCAAAATCCCAAAGCAATAGCAACAAATGAAGAAGAAACAACCAAACTAGCAACCAGAAGAAGCAGCACCAACAGAAGAGAAGAGGCAGCAGCAAGTCAACAATAATAGCAATCCAAACAGCAGATCCCAACGTACCAACTTCACAAACCAGAAACCAACGAAGAAGCAGATGCTAAATAGGCCTTAATACAAACATCTCGAGCCAATAAATCAAACCAGTAATCCAGCAACTAGACAACCCAAATTCCATAATTTTCAAAAGTCTAGAAGACAAACAGAGACAACAAAACAGCAATACAGTAGCAAAACACCAAAAAGGTACTAAAAATTGAAATCTGGCACTGTTCACAGCATGAACAGTAACTTCAGTACTATTCACAACGCGTGAACAGTAACTTCAGTACTGTTCACTGAGTAAACAGTACTTTCATTACTGTTCACATCCCTTAGAACTATGTTGGCTCTAATACCATGTTAATTTTAATCAATCAAAGAAAAGTAAGAGGAAGAAAGAAGAGAATATTATTGAGGCACAATTAGCCAAAACAAAGTTTAAAGGAAAATTACATATAAGAGGTCTTTATATAGTAAATTAAGCTAAGGCAACATAAAAAAAAACAATAACTAAACTACCCCTAAGTCTATATATAATAACTACTCTAACAATTTAAACTTTAAATTTGATCCTAAAATTTAGTCAGTATGACATTAGTGTTACTAAAAGGCCGAGAAAGACGAAGAACCTTTTCAAGGCAAGGCACATTAGACCTATTGTTACAATGTAATTCCTGAATGATTACAATCACACGTTAATTATATATATTTCTTACCCATTAATCATGTGTGACCTGGAGATCTAATCTTATCCAGGAGGACGATCTAAACCTAGCATAAGTGAACAGAAGCCGGAGGGAATAAGGGCTGGTGGAGGGTACCACTCGGTCCAAGGGCTTGTGGTCTAATTATAATTTAAATTCCTTTAGTTCCCTGTTCATATGGATAATCATTATTTTAAATTACATTTCACTTTCAATATGTTTCTCTTTGCTAAACACTTTTATCGTAAACTCTAATGCTCCGTTTGGTACGATGAAAAAGTGGCAGGATGGAAAGTTGGAAGGATGAAAAGTTAAAAAGATAAAAAAAAAATCATGTTTGGTAAGAAAGGAAAGTAGAAAGGATGGAAAAGTGAATGAATTAAGTTTTTTTTAACTCACCAAAATCAATCCCTCCAAAATCGGAAGGAAAGTGGATGAAAAATTAATTATTTGTGTTGAGATGTATCTTATTTGTCTATATATCTTTTTATATATACATATATTACGTACATATAAAAATACAATAATAAAATATTTATATATATTTTAAAAAAATAAAAAATAAAAAAAATAAAAATTTTAAATTAAAAAAAATATTTTTACATCATAACTAAGGGTGAAAATTTTAAACTTAACACGATGACACGACTCAAACTCGATACGAAAATAAACAGGTCAACTCAAAACTCGACACGACACAATTAGTTAAATGAGTTAAGTTAGATTTAACTAATATTTGACACAAACTCGTAATGAGTTAATACGAATCTAAAACGACACGACTCGACTCGATTGCCACTCCTAATTTTAGCCGGCACAAAAAAAAAAAATAAAAAAAAATGTTATTTTTATTTTCCATCCATCCAAGTAAACACAAAGGAAGAAAAATGTATCCTTCCATTCTTGAAGGATATAAAGTGTATTCCTCCTACTTTTCATCTTTCCTACTTTCTATTCTCCCTACCAAACGGAGCGTAGGAGATAGTTCAAGTGGTAATAGATTTATAGAGATGAGCTGTAAATTCAGATGTCCTGAATTTGAATATGAACAACTTTTTAGGATCAGACCATGAGAGATTTATTTTTTATAAATACCTTAATTTCGACATGTAAAGTCTGCATTTCACTGAACCAAGAAGAAAATTAATGAAAATACGCGTAAGCTGGCTTGAACAGTTACATTGTTAAAATATATTCTAGAATTTGTGTCTCCAAATTAGTGACAAATCCGCCAACCAAGCAGTGACCCAGCTCATGTCTTATATACGGAAATATGCATGTGTACAAAGCTGCCTTTGATTTATAGCATGTTCACAAATTAATATTGAATATGCATGGTTGATACATACCCATGGACGGCTCCATGAATAGCTTCAAGGAAGGTATTCCAAATTGTTGGAAGAAATGGAGAGTGTGAGCTCATGTTGGGGCTCCATTTTTTTACCCTGACTTAATATGGCATGACTATAATGCATTACGAATAATAAATGAGATTGAGTTAGTATCAAATACGAATAATTTAATTTAGATATGTACCCGTGAAAAAAAAAGATATTTATTATTTAGTGTTTGGTGTGGGGCTACAGTGCTTTTATTAATTCAAACTTCGCTCTCAGCTTGGGTGGCAATCGGCAATGTCAATTGCAATCCATGCCTAGGTACTTCCGCTAGAACTCCTTATCAAGAAAGATTGGTTATTCTCTCAATATTGTTATTTGAACATAATTTGTTGATTTAATTTATCACAATTATCGGATTGGTTATAAGTCTGAATAAATACTAAGACTCATTTGCAATCTAATGATTAGATTAGCAAATTAGGTACAAATAGCATTGCTCTTATTCTCTAGAATAATATTTTTGGGATCTAAAAAATTTACAAAATTTATTGACCTAATGACGTGATAAAAAATACACTCCCAACGAAAAAGTTCATCAGTTACAATCACTATAAGTCTATTGCACTATGTTAGTGTCGCATCATTTGATTGATAACTTAAGTCTCAACGCTCTTCTACGTATGAGTCCATGCATGTTTTTTACTTTGTTGGGTGTAGTTTTGATAGGCAAACGTACAATCAGATCCTGATCCAAAATTTATGGGTAGTTCCCTAAAGCCCAAGGACTAGGGTGTCTATTAGTAATTGGAGATTATCTCTTTTACTATTTCACATAATGGTAGATCATACAACATAAATTCAATTAGGATTTATTATTTATAAATGAGTCTATCATTCATACAGGGTAAGTGATCTATCATTGAGTGAAATTGAAGAACAGTATAATAGAAAGGATTTGAATACACCTATTAACGCGGGTGAGTGCATCTCTATGTTCGAGTGGAGTGAATCAATTTGTGTGTCCAAATATGATTTGTTAGTAGGGTTGGGATTAGGTTTGCTGAAAGTGAGTTTAATTTCAAAAGGTTCAACTCTTCAAACTAAAGCTTAAAATCAATCAGGTTCAAATGCTCATGCTCAATCTCAACTTACTACATTATAGATTACTAGTGAGAAGTCATCCATGATCCATATAAGGATAGAGGGTTCTGCATACATAGAAAATCACAATTTTTTTTGGTAACCTAATTGTTCCAGTAGATTATAACAACGGAGGAGTCATTATCGTCTCGCTGCTTTATTACACAATTGCTAATCTACGTGCAGATTGCAGAACCTTATCATAATCCTAATGGAAGAACATTCGTATTTGGTGAAGGAAACCAACTTAACGGATTAAGGGTCCAACTATGAAACCGAAAATTACTTTTCGGTCCTATTAATAGCCACAACCACAAGAGGACTCTTCATCTCACATGAAAGCTTAAGCAACTCAGTCAGATCAACAGGATGAGCCACCTCCTGAACCCACTCGAACTGGTGCACCAACTTAGCCACCCAAAGGCTCACTGTCGCGAGCCCTAGGTTCCTCCCAGGACACACTCTTCGGCCCGCTCCAAACGGCGCGAGCCGGAGGTCATTGCCCCTCACATCCACATTAACACCACCATCTAAAAACCTCTCAGGCTTAAACACCAATGGGTCCTCCCATATAGTGGGGTTGTGTGTGATTGACCACATGTTGACCATGGCGGTTGTGTTGGCGGGAATTACCATGCCGTTGCTGAGCTGGACGTCTGACGTGGACAGACGGGCCCAGGAGAGGAGGGGCCCAGGTGGGTGGAGACGTAGGGTCTCTTTGACCACTGCTTGCAGGTAGGGCAATTTAGTAATATCAGCGTCTGTGATACTTGTGTCTCCTGCAATATTGATGTCAAGCTCATTTTGAAGCTTGGCTTGGATGTCTGGATTTAGAACCAGCTCTGCCATGGCCCATTCTGTTAGAAGAGCAGTTGTGTCCGTACCACGGAAGATCATTTCCTGCAAACATACATAAGAAAATATGCAAAGGGTAATATCCGAGCAATTAATATAACATTATCTTCCGATTATGAATTTAATACATAGTCATCATTGAATTATGAATAGATCTCAATAATATTCGTATCGGGTTTATTGCTAACCCAAATGATAGTAGTTTATGATGCCTCTAGATTAAATATAATAGGTTTTATTGGATTATTAGTATTTTTCATTAATTTTTTTGAATAAATTTAGAAATACAAAAAGTTGGGTTCCCCAATCCTTGCCTCCGCTTGCTCTTAATTTCCTTCAATTGTATATTGAACTTGTTTGGAACTGATTTTTTTGAGTTCGAAACAGAGGTTTGAAGATTGAAATAAACAAATTAGAGTTGAAAAAAGTTTTTCAAATAGTTTAAAGTATTTCTGTAAAAATTGACTTTTCTTTAGAAAATTTTGGAGAAATCCAATTTTTTAGGTTTTCCCTTTGCTAAAAAAGCTGTTTTTGTCAAAAAAAAAAAAAATTGATGAAAAATCCGTCCAATAAACCTAAATCCAAATAGATCAAGATTCTTTTTCTCCAAAACTAAAAATAATTGAGGTTCTTAGTCAGCTCCAAACAGGCCCATTGTAATTATATTGGTGAAGACTAAAATATATGATCGGAGAATGTCACAATCCTTAAGATTTTTGTGGATATTTTAAAATTGTGTCAGTTAATTTTATTTCTTGCCCAAAAAACAATTGCCAATTAAACAGTTGGCATATGCATAGAACTGTTCACATTTTCTTAGAGAAAACCACCATTAATTAACTTAAAATAACATACATACTTACCCATAAAATAGCCACCATATCATCCTCTTGGAGCTTCTCTTCACCCTCCAAACACAGCAGAATGTCGACAAAATCAGAGTCATTCGATATCTTGGAGGGTTTACCAGATTGGTGTTCTTCAATAATCTGTTTAACCAGGGTTTTCACTCGAGGAACGAGAGCTGAACAACGTTCATGAATACGATAAGGATCATTAAAGTACTTCAACCATGGAAGATAATCAGACCAGTTAAAAGCTCCTAAGAGCTCAAACCCTTCTCTCACAATCTCATGCAGTTCTCTGGCGTCAGACTCGTGCATTGGATCGTACTTTTTTCCGAACACGAGTCCCATTATGCTGTTCAGAGAAGCAAGTTGAAGGTGCTTTCTTAGAACTACAGCGCCATGGAGACATTGTTCTTGGGCTATGGCAATCAACATGGCAGCGCAATCTAGCTGGCGTCCAGGCTCATGGGCTATTATGCGCTTTGGTGCAAACAGGTGTGATGCGGCAATCTTTCTTAAGAGCCGCCAGTATGGCCCATTGGGCGCGAACCCAATGGCTCTACTGAACATGAGCTGCTTAGCCGACTGTTTGATCGGACGGTCGGCAAAGTGAGGAGAGGTTAGGATCTCTTGGGCCGTGTGTGGGTCCGAGGCCACGACAGCTGGTGTCGAGCCCAAGCTGAAAGCCATGAGGGGGATTGAGGCGGCTTGGCTCAAAGCCATGGATGCGAGAGTACGATGAGCCAAGCCGTGGCTTAGGCTGAGTAAGCTGCCAAAGATGGGAAGGCCTCGAGGCCCGGGGATTGAGGCACGGCCCATATGGTTCCTGCCATTTTTCCAAGCTGGTCCACCAGTGGAGAAAGCCCAGTTGATGAGTATAACAATTATAATTGCCATGAAGACGGAGAAAAAGAGCAAGGTGTTGCGTAAGTTTTGGGTTTCAAGAATGGCTGGCAGAGTGAAGACCCGCCATTTTGTGTCCTCAGAAATCAAGGAGAACTCCATACCTCTCTTTTTTGTGTATGTGAGAGAGAGGGAGGGAGGGAGTTATTGGGTGGTAGAGAAGGGTTTAAGAAGGCTGTTTAAATAGGCAGCATTGTCTAATGAGTGGTCCATTGGTACTGAAAAATATTTTTTCTAACACCGTACTTTCATTTTTTTTTCATCCAAATTTAGACTTAAAAATTTGACCTAATTTACTGATATAATGATGTGGCTTTAGTAGAACCATTAGATCAACACCAAGTTCTAATGTTTAATGGCTCCCACAATTAATTTAAATGTCATAGTGAATTAGATTAATAAATTAGGTCCCAATAACATTGCTCAAATTTTTTATACTAACACATTCAGCAGCACCGTAGACTTGTCCATTACTTGGGAACATTTTATTGGTTGACAAAACCTAGGTATTGTAGCTAGCTGTTTACGTAGAGAAGGGTTTACCTTATCATGAATACGTACACTTGTTGGCTTATATATAATCGTGTGTGTGTGTGTGTGTGTGAGAGAGAGAGAGAGAGAGAGAGAGAGAGAGAGAGAGAGATGGAGTTTTATTTTATTTTAATCTTGAAAGGCAGTCCAGGAATATTGGTGTCCGAATCCTTTTCCTCGGTTTAATCGACTTTAAACAGGACAAATCTTTTAAAATAGTATGTAATTGGATTTATAGTTTTTTTGGGCAGTACCATGCAATTCATAGCAACTTTTACACCTAGATTACATCGGTACGATATTACATTTGATCTTATATTAATGGATTAACTACAGTAATGGTCCCTCAACCCTCAACATTACTGTAACCAAAGTACCCATCTACTGTGATTATGTGAGACGTATGTGATCATTTCTTTTGTCATTTTAAAAACCGTCATTAAAAAACTGGAAAGTAAAATAATGAAAATGACACGCAATGCCTTCTATATTCTACGAGCCATTTCTATACTTGTCGTATTTGTCATATTATCCTGATACGAGTGTAAATGTTGAGTGTAATGGTTCAAATTAGGTCACTATTGTCACGTGAGTGTACAAGTAAACCACACTTTTTGAATATGTAATAATTTTCTATATAATAAAACACATAGTTAGTTCAATTTTTTAATTCCTAAATATTTTCTTCCTAAAAATATCAAATCACTCATTTCCATTACATGTTCAATCATTTAATATTTGATTAATTTGTAATTTAATATAATTTTTATTTCAAATATTACCCATATATGATAGTATACACACGTTAAAAAAAATTTAATAGAATCAATTTTTTGGACGCTAAAATTTTATATTTTATTATGTCTTTAAGTACGAGTTATTATTAATTATCTTATATGAAGAAGTGATTATTTATAGAGTAATGCTAGATGAACTTAAAAATTAAATTTAAAAATTAGACTTGATAATCTCAACCATTGAATAGGTAGTAGTTCCTAATAAATATTAGGACCTATAATAAAATTAATGATTAAAATTATCAAGTCTATTTTTTAAAACCGCTCATATTTAAAAGATTGAGCTCTATTTTACTTAATTTTTAAGTTATCATTGGGTGCTGATGCGGTGTAATACATTAAATCTAATATTTACTCTTACTACGGCGCATGCGTGCATCTTGGCAGGAAGCTTGGGAGTGGCGTGTTTTCCTATGATCCCCATAGTCGTGCTTGTGCACCCACCAAAGCATGCACGTGTTTGCATAATATCCAAGCAAACTTAAGGAGAAGAATACGGAATTAAAAAAAAATGCAATACTACGTGAACTTAAAAAATAGACTTGATAATCTTAATCATTGATTTCACTGTAGGTCCTAACATTTATTGGGTTCCACTACCTATTCAATGATTGATATTATCATGTCTAATTTTTAAGTTTAGTTTTTAAGTCCATCTAGCATTACTCTAAAAAAATAGTACCGTACCCCTAATTTTTATTATTTTTGTGATTTTTTTAATAATTTTTATGAATATTTTTATAATAATTTTAATTTTTTTAAAATTTTTGTGAATGATTTATAATTTTTAAGAGTATTTTTATCATTTTTATAGTAACTTAAGATCAATCATAACATTTTAAAATCAATTGTAAGTTGCCACAAAAGTGATTAAAACACCAACAAATATCGTAAATGACAACATGGTATCGAATTTTTTTGGGAACCATAGACTACTTAATATCATTCTTTAATAGTCAAATAAATAAAATAAATTTCACTTTGTTGACATGAATAATTATTACACCACCTAGAGGTGTAATTGTTCTATTTTGCAATGTTTACCTAATTATTGTTGTGCTGTTATTAAATGATAGTATCACTATTATTCTAATGCAACCTTACATGAAATTTATGATTTCACCAGGTCGGAGTGCTCTTATTTTCTCACCCACCTTTACCAGTTTTAAAGATTTGTTGTGAGAAGCACCTGATCAATGGTTGGGATGCCTACAACAACCCCAACATCCCATGATGGATCCAAGCACTATGGTTCAACAGTCAAAGAAGAGTAGTGCTGTGTAACATTGGATCAGTGGCTCTCATCAATTTTTTTAAATGAGACCCACTGATCTTCCTTAATTTGAGATGTAAATTTGAGTTATAAATTTGGAATACATATCATTACTCGTCAAAGAATGCCTGAATTAGTTTATTTTCACTTTCTCGATTCAATCAAAGGAAGATTATTCATGTTAGAACTAGGGTATTGCCCATGAAAGATAAATCTCTTATGATTTGACCTAAAGAGTTGCTAAGATTTGAATTTAAAAAAAATGTGTTTATTAGCACTTGATCCAAGCACTTACTAGCCATAAAAGTGTGCCAATTTTATGCTACCCTAATTAGTCTTGTACACTTTGATTTCAATTATTTGTAATTGTAATGATATATTATATGTCATAAATTTAAAAATAACTAAATTTATAGAAATAGGACCCTCAACAATATAAAATTAATGATTTATTATTGGGAGAAATCAAGAGTAAAATATACTCATCTTAACTGAACAATAACTTTTATCTCTAATATTAAGGATTGGATATATGAATCATATTTTTTTATTCTGTTATATGTTATTTGAATTATTCTTTATATTAAATATTATGAAGTTTTATACCGAGTGTAAAAGATAGGCACAATGTGATGTGTTACAAAAAGGGTTTGACTCCCCTCCAATTTTTTTAACAAGTAGAAGATCCTCCAAATTCTCCTTGAATGTTTAGGACCTATATGCATAAGTAGATTTAATAGATTTAGAATTTCAAAGTTCTAAAATGTTCTTCAAATTAATTCAATCGATTTATTTGTATAGATTTTGATCGTTAAAAAAACAATCGAAGAACTCTCCAATTCTTATGAAATTGGCGAGGAGCCTTATCTGTCACACAAAATCTCAATAAAACATACATGAAGCCCATCACGTTTCCACTAATCTTGGAGTTGAGAATTCTCCTTTCTTTTTATTTTTTATTCTTATACAAAGTCAAAACCATAGCACCAATCTCAATTTTACAAGAATTTGGTACAAATCCGAGGTTATCAACAAAAATGTGCGCTCGTGTGCGTGCACGTGCACGTGTATTTTGGCGGGAAGCTAGGCAGCCGTGTGGTTTTCTAAGTTCCCCATAGTTGTGCACCCACGTGGACAAACCTCAAGTTTACAAGGTTTTTATACGACACTCTTTTAAATTACCAATGTCAGATCCCTAATACAAAACCTTTCTTTCGAGAATTAATCCAAAGTTATTAACAAGCTCGTGTGTGCATGCGTCTGCGCGTGTGTGCATGTGCATTATGGTGGGAAACTCGGGGAGTGGTTTGCTATTCTATGACCCCCTTAGTTGTGCACCCACCATAGTCCACGTGCTACAAAACTTGTTCACGAGGCCAAACCTCCTAAATACTAGTGCTTGCCTAATCTCCATGCAAATTTGCGTTCTCATGAAGTTAAATAATAAGTTATCCTAATGTTTAACAATGATAAATCTTTTTTTGACCGTCCTATTTGCGGTTGGTGAACCATAATCTAGGGTTTGGAGCTATCTACTTGGGCAATCGAGAGTTGACAAAGTCTATTTCTCTTTTATAACCAATAATCATTTTTAGTACCAATTTTTTGGACTCATAATTACAACGTAATTCTCGAATACGCATCAATAGGCTTAGCCCAGACTAGGCCTAGAATTACAGACCAAGTCCACCTCAGAAATACAAGTCAACAAGGATCAATTAGGTCCAGATAAGAAATACAAGTTAACAAGGATCAAGCCTATCGTCTTGGAAAATCCAGTTTACTAGTGACGCACGTGAAATCTCCATCTTATAAAGGAAATCAGGGTATGCATCAAAAGCCTTAACAACTCGTCCATTACGCTATCATCACGTAGCCACCAACTTCTGTCACAAGGGTGACGCCTTAATCAAGGTTCCCCAGGATGACGCCTCCAACAAAGTTAGCTATGGGACACCATAAAGACTATACTCTCTTATAAATTATAAGCTCCACTTACACATCAGAGGAACACACATATCTCAGCACATTATACCTCTCAAGTAATATAATTCTCTAATCACCGTCGCCATTTTCAATGGAGTAAGTTACCTAGACCGAACTACCTAATCTTTGTATTTGTTTGTGTTGAACTCTCTTTACTTTATTCTTGATTAATTTTACATAAACCCACTTTTATACATCATCACACATTATCTCTAGTTGAATACTCAAACCGGTCAAATTTGGATTTTGTCCGATCAAGAGGACTTGAATTCATGATTTGCAGATTATTTACATCGCATTTCTTATATATTATAAATGAAACAATTAAGTCTTTGTTAACACGAGTCTAATTTTAATTAAAATCTATATAATATAACATAACTTCTATAAAACATAATGTTATAATCGACTCGGATCGTTTTGATTCAACGACTTATCCTGCCACTTACATTTTGCACTACGGTAAACAATTTACTTATAGTT